GGGAATCTTCTGTTGACCTATGTTTGGTGCTAAAACCCTTAAAGCCTCTCTCGATAGCACTTTGTCTGTCATCTGTTCCCATCTATAGTTTCTCCCCTATATCTATCCTTTTTCCTTTTTCACTTCACTTTTTCCTACGTTAGCCTGTAGAGGCTGGTTGCTATCGTTGAAAATTGTCCTGGTAGCTCTATCTATAATGCCTACACCATAGTTTTCTTGGGTCCAAACCTGCCTGTTCCTCTCAGTACTTTGACTGTCGGATTTTCTTCCCTTTGCTGGAACTGCCAGTTTGGAATTTTGTCATGGGATGCCTCAACCATAGTCCCCTGGCTTCTGCTGAAACCCTGCTACGGTCGCGTTTTTAATTAACTTTCCTCTCTTTTTCGGGAGATTTGACACTACCTATACTAAGTCTTTCGGTTTTGGTAATCCTTGGTCTGTATACGTAGTTAAACCCTAAACCCTGGCTCTCCTTTTGTGTCTTTGTATACTGGGACCTGAAGTCAAGACGTTTGTTACCTGGTAACTTAACTGGAAACCTTTACCCTATCAACGCTTTCTGGTTCTCCACTACTGTGTGCTTCTACTCTTTGGCTTAGTTAACTCCCTGGTCTGTGTTCTACCGGGTCAGTTCTTTTGGTATGCTTCTCTTTAGAGGAATCCATATGAATGTTAAACGATTCAGGGATGCTGGCTAGAGAGTGAGAGTCCGCTTGGGGTGTACTTGTGCCTCCTCTCCATAGTGTGAAGATCAGACTGTGCCCTTTGATCGTTGCTATTTTGCCTTTTGCGAGCTAGTTGGATTCGAAATTGTTTTTATGTTCTTGAGCTTTGCCCTCTTCTTTCTTCATTTTCCTTCTCACTTTGCACCATAGTACCCAGTATTCCGTTTCAACCTGCTGTTGTAATATACCCCAAGCTTCCTGTGTGTGCATAGACCGTTTGTCGATTGTCTCCTGACATCTCTTCCTCCAGATGGTCCATAGGGAAGCCTTCCTCAGGATTTGAAAAAGATTGTTTTCTAAGTTTGTCCAGTTTTCAGGCGTGCTGAAGCCTAGCAATAGGAGTATGAGGTTAGTAGTGAATTCTCTGGTGATTATTTTCTCCCGAATATTCTTGATTCTCTGCCATAAAGGTTGGATTTTAGGGCATTTAAAGAAACAGTGATAGAGATCTTCTGTTTGGCCTTCTTTACAAGCGGAGCATAGTTCTTTCAGTGCGCTTCTGTCTTCTTTTCTTGTTCTCACATTTAGCCATTGGTTTAGTGGGACAGCGAGGTAGAGAATAAGCAGTTGGAGACTTCTGAATTTCAGGGGGTGGTTTATGGTTACTTGGTTCCATGGGATCTGATTCAGATTTTCTGGGCCTACTTGTAGGTGTTTCCACCATCTTTCCATTATCACTGGGTCGGGATTTGCTGACTGTCTTCTTAAATTATATCCCATGTTTGTAGCGTATCTTAGGATGTTGAATTTCTGATTAATTCCCGAGGGTCTTTGTTTCTGATTCCGTGTCCATTCTGCAGGGTCTATCTCTAGGTTCTCAAGAGCTATTTGGGGGTTGTATAGGGTTAGCTCATTGTCTTCTACCATTCTGACTTTTCTTAGATTGTCCTCTCTTACTGAGACCTGTCCTACACTGTTTTTGTTAACCCTACTGTAGTCTTTATAAGGGTCTTCTATTGTATGCATAGTAAACGTGATCCAGTTGTCCTTACCCTCTATCCTTTCCTTGTAAGATAATGTGTATTCTAAAGAAGTTGGGTGCATCATTACTGCCCAGTCTTAGAATTGGGATCCATTGCAGAGGGATGTTGGACGTTATCTGGCGAAGGTTATTTGCTAATCGATGACATCCCTTGAGTGTGCATCTAAGTTGCTTGACGTCTTTCCAATCTTTCCTGCTGTCATCCCATAGATGTTTCACTTGCCATATTCCTTTTTCTAGCCAAGCTCCCCATCTTGTGTCCTTTGGCTTGTCTTCTTCTTCGACTATCCAAGGGTTGCGGAATAACGGCTGTCTGAGGATTTCTTGTTTGCTATGTGGTTCTCTTATCTTGGCCGGGAAGATTTCTCTCCAAGATTTGATGATATTCCTCCAGAAGTTTAGTCTTGCTTCCCCTTTGGAATTTGGTGTGATCGTTGATCTGGCTTTCATTGACCAAGTAACCAAAAGGAGCCTTCCATGTTTGATGGTGTGTTGTAAATCGGCAGGTGATGGATTCCCTCAAGGGCCAGTGTCCTCCATGGGAGACTGGGCGAGGTTAACAATTTTAGTATCCATTTCGTTTGAAGGGCCTTTATTTGTGTTGCTGGGTCTAGAACTCCTAGTCCTCCGTGGTTTTTCTTCCTTGTGACATATTGCCACGCGACCTTGGTTATGAACTGCTGTTTGGATGCGTCTCCTGTCCGTAGATAGGCTGCGGCCTTCCTTTTAAGCTCTTTCATGGCCTTGTGATCGGGATTCCAGAAGACTGCAATGTACCACATCATTGAGAATACGGATGTGTTCAGAATGAGGGCTCGTCCAAATAGTGAAATGTGTACTTTCTCCTAGTCATTGAGTTTTGTGGTCATTTTGGCAAGCAGGCTAGGAGCCATTTCTGCTGCTGCACCTAGCTCGTCTAGTTGAATTCCTAGAACTCTCATTGGGTTGTTGGGATCTGCCCATGTCATACCTTCTGGTGTGTTATGAGGAGGTTGGCTGTTATCATTTGTTAGCTACCATCCTACCGTTTTTTGCTAGTTTGTCCGCATCTGAGGCTAGCTTGTATGCGCTCATTGCTCTTGTAAGAGCTTCGGATGAGGAATTGGTGGCTCTTATAAACACAATTAAGTCATCAGCAAAAAGGATGGTGGGGGGAATGGCGTAAATATGTGTGTTGTCGTCCGTGGCTCTTATCAACACAATCAAGTCATCAGCAAAAAGGATGGTGGGGGGAATGGCGTAAATGTGTGTGTTGTCGTCCGATGTCAAGATGATTCTTTCTATGGACGGATCCTTTCTGAGGAAGCATGCTATGGCTTCCATGATGAAGAGGAAGATGGGAGCCGCCATGGGATCACCTTGCCTCACTGATTTTGACATCTTGCAAGTATTAGATATGTGACCATGTACTGGAACCGCTCCGTGGGCGTCCTTGTAAAGAATTTTGACCCATTTTCGAAAGATGGGTCCCACCCCCATTTTCCTCATGCATTGGTCTAGGAAATCCCAGTTAACTTGGTCGTAAGATTTTTCGAAATCGAAGAAGAGGATGGCTGCGTTGATTTTCTTATCGTTGACATATCGTACTGATTCCAGTCGTGTCATTATATTGTCTAGAATGAATCTGCCTGTAATGAAGCCCGTTTGGTGTATGTGGAAACAAAATTTGGTTATGTTTCTCATTCTATTTGCTAGGAGCTTAGCTATGATTTTGTAGACTACCGTTAGGAGTGTAATTGGTCTATAGTTCTTGATATCGGTAGGGTCCGCCTTTCTGTATAATAAAGTGACTATTCCTGTACTTAGGTAGGGCCGCATTCCTTCATTGATCCAAGCTGTTCTCACAAAGTTACATAATTCATCACCCAGTAGTGGCCAAAGCTAAAATTCTTTGGATAGACCGTCTAGTCCTGGAGTTTTACCTGGTTTCATCGAGTCTAAAGCTTTTTTCATTTCATCGTTGGTTAAGGGCTTGTCAAGTTGTTTGGCCATATTAGCTGGAATTGTTTTGTCCAGATACTTGATAAACTTCTCTCTTGCCTGAAGCACCGACCTTGGAGTTGGTTGCTCGGTTTTTGACGTGTAGAGGTTTTCGTAAAATGATTCTGCTATAGCCAACATTTTCTTTGGGTTTGACGTGAGTCCTTCCTCTCCTCTTAACTGGTGGATGGCCGCGTTCCTTCCCCTTGTGCAAGGAAAATAAGCAACAGCGAGATGACAAATCCATATTACACCATCACATTAAAAGCCAGATAGTCACATTGTGTCCAGAGAGCAGCATTGC